CGAGCGACAGGATCTCTTACGACGACGCTGGATTACGAAATCGTGTAATAACCTAATATTTTAGCATGCTTCTACCCAATCCCGCTGACAGCTTTCCATTTTCTCTAACGTTCGCGAAATGCACAGAACAAACCTCGAATATTCAACGTGACAAACTAATTAATCTGTACGACGACGTTAACCAACACCAGTCTACAGGGTACTTCAGAAAAATGTTAACTGTTACATGGAAAATTTAAACATGTATCTATGGATTCTCTGTTTCTTTTCTTTGCGATAGTTTGAAACATTAGATTCTGGAAAAGCAACATTTTACAATTTATTTTATTATTAACGTGCCTCAGGACCCTGGAGACCACCTGGAGAATGATGAACAAGTGGAGGACTTTTTGACGACAAAACACATTACGGAAAGTTCGTAGCGTTTTTTAAGTGAAATTCAAAGACAATGCTTAGATATTTATACGTAGATTTATTCAATCATATATGTAAGAGTATGGTCGAGCGAGTGTTGGGACTCGCGCGGGTTTATGACCCGCAGACCGAGAGGTCTACCCAACGACGGGTGCAAGACGCGATGCCGAAAGGCGGATTCCTTGCACCCGGGCTGAGGAACTCCAAGTCGGCAGTGGTTTCGGTCCCAAAAAAGAAAGAAAGACCAAGTGGTCTGCGAAGAAACCCAGTCCAAACGCCTTGACACCTCCACGCGCTAAGGGCTGGGTCAGGTAAGGACCCAGCCACGTGCTCGCGCGACGAGGTCCTTGCCGGGTGGAAACCCCCAACTTGTGCCAGGGTTTCCCGGAGGCAAGAGAGGGGCGTCAAGGCACATATATAAGGAAGCGTTGAATAAGACGAAGCAGAATATATTAGATAGATTATTAGGAAACGTGTAGTTGGTAAAGACAGACAAGAAAGGAACGAGGCATCAACGACGGACGGACAAATAAATATAGTTTCAACATCTGTTTAACAAATCCTAACAGGTATTATCTTAGACCAGACAACCCTTACATATATGCTATTTTGTTTCACCATTTTTCGCCATCTTTGAGGCAGTTTCACGATTTCATCTCTTAAAATTTGGCACTTTTCTGGGCCATGAACTGGTCCAGGTGGTTTGACATACGCTACGAACTTTTGTTCCAACACAATATATTGCGTTATCAGCTTTGTTTTTCTGAAAAAGAAGTTACTTCCATATAAGTGTTAACATTATTTTTGAAGCACCCTGTATATTCTACTTCAACTTAATCCAATTTCTACAAGTTCAGTAATGCAATAGGAGTAGTAAAAAGACCCACCCAAAAAAAATCTGTAAATAATTAAATGTTTCACTACAACGTAAAGTCTCGAGGGAAAATAATTTTCGGAAAAAACGGAACCCAGCAGAGGTTCGTTCAGATACTCACAATGATCAATCTGCCAGACTGACGTAGCACAAAAGTGGTGATCGGATACACGAGGCTCATGGTCACCAGCATCAGACGCGTAACTGCCGCGACAGAGAACAAAACTCCTGTTAGAGCTAACAGTATCACGACCTGGAATAGACTCGTCAACGTCTGAAAATATAAAGAACGATAGTACTTTAGAAGTGACAATTTCACATATGAAATTCTAACACCTTTGATAAATTATAAAATTTTCAAACACTTCACTTCACCGACAACCAGTCTCGCAAATAATAATTTCTCTTTGTGATACAGCTACTAGAATAGCCGCTACGAATAAAAAATCCACAAATTCTGCCAGAAAATACGAATGAAAATCGACAATCCTGGACGGAAAAAAGAAAATTCAAACTACCGAACATAACCAAACAAAATTTCCACCGCCAAAACTTTCCCCGCAAAGAAATCTGAATGGAAAACCTCTCCTAAATCACACAGGTTCCTCCGGATCTCCGCTATGAAAGGAAGAAACAGCGGTATCTCTCGGAGGATTGATGACAGAGCGAAGAAACGCGATCACACGGTTCGACTCACGCATAGAATCGACATTTCCAGTCCAGAAGGGATAGGCGAGTCTCGAACTGGCTTGCTGGTTCCCGTCGATTTCACGGATAAAACGTCGCTATCCGATTCATTCCGCGGAATCGAAGCCACATCCTCCGTAGAGTTTCCTTTCCTCTAGCTCGAGCGAAAAGAACGTGTTCCCCTGGTCTGTATGTGTGTGTGTGAGGTGGAGGAGGGACGGGATGGGGTTGGAAATTTGTATTCCGACGTTTGCGCGCGCTCCTTCGGCAGATGACACTCGACAACATCTCGAGGGAACAACGCCACGGCGAAACAAGAGAAACGGAAATCCTCCGAGGTGTTTGGCTTCTATCTTCAGTCTGGTGAACCAGCCAGCCGGCTGGTTTATTTTCGAAGCAGCAAGTCGAGGTTACCTCCGCCGTTCGTACCATAGCGTTGCTACGTACAACGTGGATTCCACGAGTGTTTGCACACGGCATCGTCGAGAAAAACGAAGGAAGGAACGACAGTTTGTTATTGGAACCTAAGGAAGAGGATATTCTTTCGTGTGAGACAGAAAGGAGGAGAGGAAGAGAAGAAGTGTGGAAGAAAGCGCAGGGCAAGAGAGCAAATCGTTGAGATTGTCGAATTTTCACGTTATTCTTGTGAATTCTTAGTCCTTCTATTTAGGTGTGATTGCGGCATGCTTTTGCGAGGATCAAAAGTTGCGTTAAAATATTCGAAGAGAGGAGAAGGAGCAAAATTTTTAGGTGATTGTGTCGTTTGCTGTTACGAAGTTGATGAGGAACGTTAAGGTATTGCAGAGAAATATTAGAGTGATATTAGTTACGAAAAAATGTCTATAGTAAAGTGACATATACTTCCAAACTTTTGACAGGTAGTATTTAAGTTATTCAAGAATGATTATAGGAAATTTAAAAATCATAAAGTATTTATCACGGATGTCTTGTGGATGTCTCGTGCAGGGAGTTGATAATTTCTTTACACAGTAATTTGTTTAATTTTCGTTGTAATTTATAAATTGTAATGGTGTCAAGTATGAAATAAATTCAGTTAATGAATAATTCCCTAAACAATCAATGTCAATGAATTGTACTTGTAATATTTCAGGGTCTTCGTTAAATCTTATACAAAATTTAAAGGTACACAGTACTCGTCAATATTCATTCTATATATGTGTACATTTTGTTAACTCGAACATAAATACCAAATAAAAAATAAGCAAACGTAGCAAAGCCAATCTCGGTAATCTTTACTACTTCGCAAAAAGAAGAAGAAGAAAAGGGGAACTAGAGTATAAACTTCACTCACAATACATACAGAGTGTCTAAAACTATTCGTAAGTACAAAATATTCGTTAATATTTTTGGTTCCTTACTGTTCCTGTTTCTATCTTTCCGTTTTCTTTGGCTTCAATGACACGTATTATTTTACTCTGTGCTCTCTTTTTATCTGCACATGTAATTGAAGACGTTGAATAAATAAACGAACAATCGAAAGAGATAAATACTTCACGAATAATTTTTCTGAATTAAATGAATCTCGCAAGAAGATTAAAAATTCTAAGCTTACAAAAAACAAACACCGTACAGTGTCACAACAAACCTTAAATCCTCGAGAAAGCTCGGAAACAGGAAAAATCGAGTACACGGTGTAAATCCACAAACTGTCGGGGGATTCACTCTGCTCGTTCACGCTCGATTCACCGTCAATCTTTCCGCTATAATCACGATCCGTTTCACCCTGCAACGTCCCCGTGCAAGCTGGAAAAAGCTCGGATCGTCATAATCGCGGCAACACGATCCCATCGTGCTAAATGCACACGAAAACCCGCTAGAAATTCATCCTGGTGGCGGCAGTGCGCCAATTGGGACGGCTGTAACACGTTTCTCGGCTGATCGAGCGTAACATTAAAACTTCACCACGTTTTGATTTCGCCAGGATCAACAGAAGCTCCGATCGAATTTCACTTTGCCCTCGAGCAAGCGATTCGATTCTGATCGAGCACGAAAAAGATCGCGAGGGACACGATAACCGCATTTTCGCATTGGAATCACGAGAGTATTCCGTGGTCACACGGTACAATTGTGGCCTGTAACATCAAGGATCGAGTTTTTCACAGATGTTACTTGGTATTAGTTTTTGAAACCGTGTACGAGGTGTTTAGATAAAAGGAAACGTATAAAGGCTCCTTTATTTTTCGTGGAAAAGGAAATACCTAAACTGAGGGTGGGGGGGGGATATCCAAATCTGCATGTACTCTGATTTTAATAAAATTTATACAAGAAATTCAATTACACAAAGAATTCTCTTAAAAATTCCTTTATTCAAATAATATATTAAAAACTGAAATTTCTGTGATAACTTTTCTTGGTGAATGTTAATCAATTTTCGTGAGTCTGAAGTAAATTGTTTTAGAGAAATTGGATTCACAGTTGAAACTGTGTTCCGAGGTAACAAATTTTTCGTAGTTTTCCATTTAATGGAGATTCTTGTTACTACTGATAGTTGCTTTCGCTAAATTTCGTAAAGATCTTCGATTCATTTCGGAATTGTTATTCATTGAAACAATATCTATGGTTCTAAAAAGTGCAAATTTTTAAACCTTTAGGTTGTGAGAAATTATTAAGAACAAGAACTTTCAAAAGATTGGTAAAATTTTTAAATTTCCTAACAAAGCAGGTTCCAGAAATATTTTTAAATTTGAACTACAGGAAACAGTTCAACGAACTACGAAATATTTTTGCAAATCCGATTATCCTGTATAAAGTCAACGCGGCACAGTGTCATATTACGCACAATAACAACAACGAAATCAATAAACACACACGGCGCACGTCCAGGAAAACTATCTGTATCAGCAAATCGTCCGAAACGCTCACATTCCGCTCGATAAGCGGCCTTGCGTGCGCGAATACGTGATCGATTATAACATCGAACGTGCCTAACAAACTTCTTAATTCCTTTAAATATCCGCTGGATGGGTGGAATTGTCAGTTCAACATCGACGAACAATCCGAGAAAATGCATCTCAACACTTGTTTCGCACTTCTGTTGATGGGTCTGGCTTTTGCTCTGGCCCTTCCAGCGGAAAAGGTAGAAAAGTCGTTGGAAGAAAAGAATGTGGTTCTCGAGGACACTGTCGACGACAAGGCAAGGTCTAAGAAGGCAGCACTCTGGATGCAGCAACCCCAGATTCAAGCCGTCAACTACGTTCCTCAGGCTCAAACTGTCAGCATGCTACCACAAGGTCAGACAGTCAGCGTCCAGCCAGGTGCACCAGCTATTCAAGCACTGAATATCCAACCTGCTGCCCAGACGACTCTCAGCCTTACAGCGTCTGCACCTGCAGTCCAGAGCTACAGCATTGAAAGTGCTCCAGCAGCTGTCCAAACTTTCAACCTTCCAGCTGCTGCACCTACTGTCCAATCTTTCAGCATTGAAAGTGCTCCAGCAACTGTCCAAAGCTTCAGCCTTCCAGCGTCTGCACCTGCAGTCCAGAGCTACAGCATTGAAAGTGCTCCAGTAGCTGTCCAGAGTTTCAGCCTTCCAGCTGCTGCACCTGCTGTCCAATCTTTCAGCATTGAGAGTGCTCCAGGAACTGTCCAAAGCTTCAGCCTTCCAGCTGCTACACCTGCTGTCCAATCTTTCAGCATTGAGAGTGCTCCAGCAACTGTCCAGAGTTTCAACCTTCCAGCGGCCGCACCTGCTGTCCAATCTTTCAGCATTGAAAGTGCTCCTGCACCGTTGCAGACAGTCAGCGTTCAGCGTGCTACCCCTGTAGTCCAGAGTTACAGCATTGAGAGTGCTCCTGCGCAATTCCAGACAGTCAACGTTCAGCGTGCTACACCTGTAGTTCAGAGTTACAGCATTGAGAGTGCTCCTGCGCAATTCCAGACAGTCAACGTTCAGCGTGCTACACCTGTAGTCCAGAGTTACAGCATTGAGAGTGCTCCAGCAACTGTAGCCGAGAGCTATAGCATCCAAAATGTTGCCCAGGCTGTCCAGCCTCTAGGCCTCTCCCAGCCTTTGACTCAATACACAACGCTTGCTCAAAGTCCAGTTTTCAGCTCTTTGTCAAGCATGAGCCAACCAATTGTGTCTCAAACTAGTACGACCTACGTGTAACGTCTATTGAAAGGTACATTGAGCTGTCAAAGGTGTACTATGTTTAAGAGTATAGTATTAGATAGTTCAATGTTAACTTTTTCTCTTTGACAGATATGCAGCTTCCTACCGTGGGTTTGAAGGATAGAGGCCAGTTACTATTATACTTGGGGATTCAAATTGAAGAATTTTTTTCATAAGATGCAAATAAAAATTACGAGCATGTATACATCGAGTTTTTAATATTTTTCACCCTGGTTTCGTCAAGAAGCACCTAACCTAAAATACATCCTTCCACCATGTATTTCCTCTCAATGTCAAAGAAATATTTTCTTTAAGTTCAGTTTAAGTTCAGGCGACTTGGTCGACGTAAAACCAAAAACCAGGCAACCAAACTCGGCGACCAAACACAGCAACTTGAAAGTTGTCGGTGTCGCTGTCTAAACTTGCTTACGTGAAAGCTCATCATTACGTCTGGTCTGCGAGAAAGTTGGCTGTCTTGTGAACGCATGCGTTTGATTCAGTGCATTTCATCGGAGTGCAGAGAGCTGCGAGTTGCTCGTGCGTCACTCGTGTTTTCGTGGTCTCCGGTAACTCATTGGTCACCGGGACCAAGTGCAACGAGCTCATATATTCTCTTGAACCCAGTGGTTGCGAGCGAACTGGTCACCTCTACAGCTCTAAGTATTTAAATTCGAATTTAACATTATCCGCACGCTTGAATAATTTAAAAAAGGAACATTCGACTTGGAACATGCTTTTCAACAAAGGTAGAGATATTTTAAGAACTTCAATAAAAATGTCGTACAGGCGCTACCGATGGCAATATCACTATCTCGCCTTCTGTATTTTTCTATAAAGATTGAAATAAAAAGTTCCAATTGGTCCTTATCTTTCGCACTTATTTGAAGTTCACGTTTACAAATCTATACAAAAATTAAACCATAATTTGTTATAAAAATATTTAAACA